ATATCTCCGCCCATCGATGTTGTGTATTACAAATTTATCAACCGATCCATAATTGCATTGCTAAACGTAAGTCTGTATTAAATAAAATAATTAGTCACTTAATAGTATAATCAAAAACAGAAACAAATACCAAAACGATGGTATTTATGGGCAGTTAATAAGACAATTATATCCATCAATACAAATATAAATACACATGAGAAAGAAGTTATTGTTGTTTTGCAAAAACTAGTTAAACAACCACTTGATTTGCTGTCAACAGTATTGTATACTGATTCGCCCGGGGTGTTTCACATTTATACGGAAAATGCCATTTCAAAGTGGCCTAAACCTGTGAATGTGAGGGATTTGTTCAATAAAGTCAATGATAATAAACTGACAATCGATGAGATCGAGAGATATTTCTCACAAACGACGGCCGGCTTTGCATTCAATGATTACTTCTATTTGTTTGCCGGCAATCGTGTCTGTCGTATGAATAATAAAACTCTTCATTTCGATGATAACTGTTTGAATCAAACCATCGCTCAATGGATTGGTTGCAATGAAGACATGACAACAATTGCGACAATACATCCGATAAAAGACAATTACAATCAACACATAATTGCAGCGATAGTTGTGATCATTTTTGTGATCATTATAATAGCTGTCATAGCAATGATTGTATACAGAAAACGACACCAATATTCACCTCGAGTTTACTCAAAATATAAAACAGTTCCGAAAATTAACAACTCTTTGGCCACAGAATCAGAGGTTAAGTCAAAGATATCAAAGACATCGATGTCTACATTGGATGAAAACAGACCAACAGATCTCAAGATTACGACCAATACTTCGCCGGCGGTTAACAAATCTGCGGTCAAACAAAGTCACAAACAATTGAAGACTAACCGAAAAGCCAAACCATAATTACATAAAAAACAGTTTTTAAACATTTTTTTATTGAATTTTTTTGTATACTTTTTAATACTTTTGATTTATTTAATTTAAAATGAATAAAATTATAAGAGTCTACTCTTTAGTATAAATGTTATAATATAATCAATGAATACAATAATAATTGAATTTTTTATCTCTATTAAAATTTCTAGTCAATCAATTTGTGGATTTGGTTTAATCTGATCCACACTTTCAACCGATCCTTCATTGCTCTTACTCTTTAGATCCGTTGGTGTCTTGTATTTTGTAGCAATACCGATACTGAAATTTCAATCCCTAGTTTGAGATTAAATACACAATTATTTTAATTATTAACAATAAATTAATTTGAGAGCGAATTTTATATTTAAATATTGTTTAAAATTAATCAATTTTTATTTGAAATCTATACACAAATTATTAATTTTTCATTTGTCACAACTGAATAATTTATTGATAGTATTTCTGCATTCATTTGAATACAAACTTTAAATGCATTTCATTTTAAGATTAATTGCGGGTTTAATACAACTGTTGATTGTATTGAATGCATCGGTCAGTAATTTTATATTAAAATTTTAATCAATTTATATTTTATTGATTATTTAAATACAGAATCCGTTTTGTCAGCGAAATATTACAATTGATTCGGCATTTGTGGACAAATTCTCTGATTTGGGATCAGATGTCATCACTTTGTTCTCCGATTTAGATGTCCATCAATTAACCGTCAATACAACGGATCCCATAAATCCTGTCTTCAGATACAACAGATCCCTATACTTGCCGGACGACGAGTGGATGGCAGATGGTTATAATATCGAGCCTCCCATTAATAGCATCTATTGTATAGCTATAAACTTTGTGAATTGCACATATCTTGTATTAGAAAACGTAAGTTTTATATCAATTATAATTTTAGTAATTATTTAAACACAAAATTTGTGTCAATTATTTAGAGAGTGTATGAAATTCAGATGCATTTAAATCCTGTGAACAAAAAATTTATTCGTCGGACGTATCACAAGAATAACTACCGATTAAGACCAATAACCTTTGAACAGATGGTTACTCTACCTTTTAAATGTCTTAAATTGAATGCTATATTATCTAACATTTCATTGTATTGTTTTTAATCGATATTTGTTTTTATGAATAAATATTTGTCTTTATATCAATTTATTGTTAGTTTAATAGTTTTAATCATTATAATTAAATAATTAATTATAATAATTGCAATTAATAGTATTTTGTACTATATTTTAAAATAAATAAAATAAACTGTTAAATAAATTGTAGACAAATACTTTGATTTGGGATCAGATGTCATCACTTTGTTCTCAGACACAACTGTCCATCAAATGACTGTCAATAAAACGGATCCCAAAAATGCCGTTTTATATGGACTGCAATTGATAGCAGCTATTAATTTATTGAAACATCAATTAATTTTTACCTTTTATTTAATAACAGATTATTGGAAATTATAATTGCATTTAGAGATTGACAACAAATTGTAATCAAATAGTTTACATATTATTTATTTTTATAAAATCGTTTTTTATATGCAATAAATTGTTTAAAAATACAATTTATTCGTAAATATAATCAAAGAATTTGGTTTAATATATAAAAATGAATTGATGTAAAGTTATAACTAATAAATTATAACTTATAAGTTATAACTAAATAATTTAAAACAACTTTTAAATAATAAAATAGATAACGAAAATAAATAATGTTTAGTTTAAGAGTTTGTTTTGTTTGGTCCATAAAATGATCACTTTATGGACTTCGAGGTTCGTATTGTCAGTTTTGTGGGTCTGTTATCACTCGACGCCGAAGATAGCGATGTCGTCGACTCTATTGGCGGTAAAGTGTCTACATTTGGATCCACTGTTTTATACCTCGAGTAAACTCTTGGCTTAGATGTGATGTTCTCCTCCTCTTCGGTCATAACTCTATACATAAAACACGCCATCAGTGCTGACATCACTACTAGTATTACAGTAACCGATATTATGATAATCATAAGCCATGGGAAGGTCTTGTCTTTTGGTATAATAGTTGTTGTAATAGTTTCATCCATTTCTCCACATCTGAGCCATTGAGCGATGGATTGATTGAAACAATTGTCCGCAAACTCGAGAGTAATGTTATTCACACGACAGACACAATTGCCGGCAAACAAATAGAAATAGTCATCAATAATTATTTGGCATTCAGTCAAGTCTTTAATTGTTTGGGACTTTTTTTGACCAGAGATTTGTTAACCGCCGCAGAAGTAGTGCTCCTAATGTTGAGATGTGTCGGTCTGTCCTCATCCATGGAAGCCATCGACGGCTCTGATATCTTTGATGTCTTTGACTTAACCATTGATTCGGTGGTCGACGGGTCGCTAATATTGGGATCTGTTTTATATCTGCGGTAAACTCGTGGTAAATATTGGCCCCGTTTTCTGTATGCAATCATTGCTATGACAGCTATTATAATGATCACAAAAATGATCACAACTATGGCCGCAATTATGTGTTTATTGTCATCGCCTTTAATCGGATCTATTGTCGTAATTGTTGTCATGTCTTCGCAACCAATCCATTGAGCGATGGATTGATTCAAACAGTTGTCGTCAAACCTGAGAGTCGTGTTATGCATACGACAGACACGATTGCCGGCAAACAAATAGAAATAGTCATTGAATGCAAAGCCAGCCGTCGTTTCATTCAAATAACTCTTGATCTCATCGATTGTCAGTTTATTATGAGTGACATTATTGAGCAAATCAGTCAAATCCAACCAATCCTGCGGCCACTCTGAACTGCCGTTTATTATATAATTTGAAACAATATAAAACATCCCTTTAAATTTAGCCAATCTTGTTGTCAGCCAATAATACGGTTGTTTAACCAGTTTTTGTAAAATAACAATCATTTGTTTTTCCCAATCCAGATTTTTATCACTGGATATAAGAGTCTTATTAACTGATCCTAAATACCATTTTCGTTTCATTTGTTTCTGTTTTGATTACATTTTTAAGTGATTAAACATTTAATTTAATACAGACTTACGTTTTGTAATATAATGACAGATCCGTTGATATCTTTGTAATGGACAGCGTTTATGGGCGGAGATATGGATCCATAGTTTGACCACACATTCAATGGTTGGGATCTGTTGTATCTGAAGTCGGGATTTATGGGATCAGTTGTATTGATAGTCAATTGATAGACAGTGTTGTCTGCAAACAAAGTGATGACATCTGATCCCAAATCAGAGTATTTGTCCACAAATGCCGAATCAATTGTAATCTTCAGATTACACAATGGATTCTGGGATTAAATATTGAATTAATCGTCAAATTGAAAAATTATACATAAAATCACTGACCGTTGCATTCAATACAACCAACATTTGTATTAAAAACACAATTAATGTTAAAATGAAATGCATTTGTGTTTAGAGTTTGTATTCAAATATTTGTAGAAATGACTCATTTCAAATGAGTTCAAAACGAAACGTTTAGTTCTGATTATGATTACAACAATTTTGATTGTTATATGAAGTTTGAGATTAAATGCATAATTATTTTAATTATTAACAATAAATTAATTTGAGAGCAAATTAGTATTTAAAATTTAAATATTGTTTAAAATTAATCAATTTTTATTTGAAATCTAAACATAAATTATTAATTTTTCATTTTGTTTCACAACTTAAAGATTAATTAATAGTATTTCTGAATTCATTTGAATACAAACTTTAAATGCATTTCATTTTAAAATTAATTGCGGGTTTAATAGAACTGTTGGTTGTATTGAATGCATCGGTCAGTAATTTTATATTCAAATTTAAATCAATTTTCGTTTTATTGATTATTTAAATACAGAATCCGTTTTGTTATCCAAACATCACAATTGATTCGGCATTTGTGGACAAATTCTCTGATTTGGGATCAGATGTCATCACTTTGTTCTCCGACACAACTGTCCATCAATTGACTGTTAATACAACGGATCCCAAAAATGTTGTTTTCAGATACAACAGATCCCAACGAATAGACGAGTGGTCGGATATGAAATATGGTGATATATGGACTCCCATTAATAGCAGCTATTGTCTAGCGATTAACCTTAAGAACCATAAGAATTGCACATTCATTGTATTAGAAAACGTAAGTTTTATATCAATTATAATTTTAGTAATTATTTAAACACAAAATTTGTGTCAATTATCTAGAGAGAGTTTGAAGTGAATATGTATATAAATCCGGTGAACAAAAAATTTAGTCATCGGGCAAATGTAAACAATAAGCACCCATTGAGACCAATTATCTTTGAACATATGGTTACTCTACCATTTGATTTGAGACAAAGCATTTTATTTCATGATGAAAACTTGACAATTACTAATCGCTATTGGGATAGAAGTACCCGATATGTTGAAGCGAGCCATACATTGCAACTGATCCCAGAGTTGCAAATGAGAAACAATAATAGGCTGACCGTCGATGAGATCCGGAGTTATTTGAACGAAACGACGGCCGGCTTTGCA